TGCACCTGTCACTGCTCCCGATTTGTCTCCGGGGTTAAGGGGAAAGAAAAAGAAAAAAAGAAAGAAAAATAGAAAAAGAACAGGCGGAGCAGAGGAGCTCCAGCAGGAGCATCTTAATCTGCGCCATCTTGCCAGACCATCATGTCTGACAAATTTATTAGAGTCCTTTGAGGTGGTAACAAACAGGATAAATAAAAGGCAACCAGTAGATGCAGTATATTTGGATTTCCAAAAGGTGTTCAATAAGATACCACACTTAAGGTAATTTAATAAGGTAAGAGCTCATGATGTTGGAAGAGGTATAATAGCATGAATAGGGAATTAGGTAACCGAGAGAAGGGTTAAATGAGTGGGTAAAATGTTGGCAGATGGGCGTAATGTGGGAAAATATGAGGATCAGCACTTTGTCAGGAAGAATAGAGGAGCTGAATATTATTTAAATAGAGAAAGCTACAGCGTGGTGGATTTGGGGATCTTCATGCATAAATCACAAAAACCAGTGTTGAAGTTCAGGTAAAAAGGGAAGGCACATGGACGTTAGCTTTTATTTTAAAGTTGTACCACATCTGAATACTATGAACAGTTTTGGTGCCCTTATCTAAAGGAAGATACATTGGCACTGGAGGCAGTCCAGAGAATGTTCACAAAGTCGAATCTGAGTGTAGAAAGATTTACCTATGAGGAGATTAAGCCTGTACTCATTCGAGTTTAGAAGAATGAGATGTGCCTTCTTGAAATGTAGAAGACTTTTAGAGGACGTGACCGGCTAGATGTGGAGAGGTTGTTCCCAATGCGAGAAAGACTCGAGACAGTGGCACAATCTCGGAGTAAGTGCTCATCCATTTAGAGCAGAGATGAGCGTCATGCCAAGAAGCTCAATGACTTATACTTGAACTTTCGGAGAATCAGGACAGGATACTAAACATCACGGTGCTCACCTGAGTTGACATGCCAAGCACGCAGACCATACTAAGACTGTGACAGTCGAGTTTGCTGGCCAGGTAACCAGAAGACCTAACGATTACTTACCAAAGCAAAACTTCTTTAGAATGATTGAGTCGGGGTACACTTTTACAGTAATCAAAGGAAGTGTTTCACAGACACTCTGAGGCATCAGTTTGCTTTTTTGACTTTGGCTCCACAAAGAAGTTCACCCAGAATAATTGCCTTTGGCATAACCAAATAAAAAAAAAAGGCACAGCCTCTTTGGAAAGCAAAGTCTATTAGAGGTAGAGAGAAAATGCAAAGGGAGGAAATTCCAAGACAGGAAATAGCTCAAAACACTGTTGCCTGCTGTAATATCTACTGTTTGCAGCAGAGCCTAGCAACTTTTCATAATTTGTATAAATGACTTGAATGTGAACATAGGATTTATGGTTAGTAAGTTTGCAGATGGCACCAAAATTGGAGGCGTGGTAGAGTACAACGGGATCTTGATCAGATGGGCCAATGTGGCAGATGGAATTTAATTTAGATTAATGTGAGGTGCTGCATTTTGGAAAGGCAAATCAGGGCAGGACTGATACACTTAATGGTAAGGTCCTCATATCTCATAGAATCCCTACAGTGTGGAAACAGGCCCTTTGGCCCAACAAGTCCACACCAACCCTCAGACCCATCGCCCTATATCCCACCTAATCTACACATCCTAGAATACTACAGGCAATTTAGCATGGCCAATCCACATTTCAAGAAGGCAAACCTTTTGGACTGTGGGAGGAAACTGGAGCACCAGGAGGAAACCCACGCAGACACAGGGAGAATGTGCAAACTCCACACAGACAGCTGTCCAAGGTTGGAATTGAACCCACGTCCCTGGCGCTGTGAAGTAGCAGTGCTAACCACTGAGCCACCGTGCCGCCCTGGGGAGTGTTGTTGAACAAAATGACCTTGGAGTGCAGGTTCATAGTTCCTTGAAGTTGAAGTTGCGGGTTGACAGGGTAGAGAAGAAGGCATTTGGTACACTTGCCTTTATTGGAGTTTGGAGGTCATGTTGGGGCTGTACCTGAGATTTGTTAGGCCACTTTTGGAATACTGTGTGCAATTCTGGTCTCCCTGCTTTAGGAAGGATATTGTGAAATTTGTAAGGGTTCAGAAAAGATTTACAAGGATGTTACCAGATTTGGAGGGTTTGAGCTTCAGGGAGAGGCTGAATAGGCTGGGATTATTTTCCCTGGAGCATTGGAGGCTGAGGGGTGACCTTATATAGGTTTATAAAATCATGAGGGGTGTGGATAGGGTAAATAGACAGTGAAGAAGATTAAATCAGAAAACAGTAGGATCTTGATCAAAAGGGCTGATGGGCTGAGGAGTGGCAGATGGAGTTTAATTTAGATAAATGTGAGGTGTTGCATTTTGGTAAGGCAAATCAGGGCAGGATTTATACACTTAATGGTAAGGTCCTGGGGAGTGTTGCTGAACAAAGAGACCTTAGGCTACAGCGTCATAGTTCCTTAAGGATGGAGTCCCGGGTAGATAGAGTAGTGAACAAGGCATTTGGTATGCTTGCCTTTATTGGTCAGTGCATTGAATATAGGAGTTGGGATATCATGTTGCAGACATTGGTTAAGCCACTTTTCGAATACTGCTTTAATTCTGGTCTCCCTCAGAACGATGTTAAACTTGAAAGGGTGCAGAAAAGATTTAGAAGGATGTTGCCGGAGTTAGAGGGTTTGAGCTTTAGGGAGAGGCTGAACAGGCTGGGACTATTTCCCCTGGAGCATCAGAGGCTGCAGGGTGATCTTATATAGGTTTATAAAATCATGAGGGGCGTGGATACGATGAATAGCGAAGGTCTTTTTCCCAGGGTAGGGGAGTCCAAAACTAGAGGGCATAGCTTTAAGGTGAGAAGGGAAAAATTGAGAGGGACCCAAGGGACAACTTTGTCATGCAGAGGGTGGCGCATGTATGGAATAAGCTGCAGAGTACGTGGTGGAGGCTGGTACAATACAACATTTAAAAGGCATCTGGATGGGTACATGAATCGGAAGGGTTTGGAGGAATATGGGCCAAATGTTGGCAAATGGAACTAGCTTTTGTATAGGATATTTGATTGGCATGACCAAGTTGGATCAAAGGGTCTGTTTCCGTGCTTTACAGCTCTATGACTCTAAACAAAAGATATAAGTTTAAAACCTTCTTCAAGAAACAAAAACTGATATTTGGACAGTTGTTAATTTTAAAATGGTGAATGCTAGATTTTCATTAACTGGAGCCATGAAGTGATGTAGAAGCAGGAAGACATTTGGTCTTTGGCCACAGATCGGTTGTTATCTCACTAAATAAAATGCTTGAGTGGCCAATTGTTGCTCCTATATCTTTCAATAGAATTCTATGGATTTATTTGAACTGATTGTCGAAGTTGCTCCAGTGTCATTGAACTTCTCTGTTTTTCATAATCTGTAGCCACATCTTGAACACCCAATGGTTTTATTGCCTTGTCATCTATTAGAGTCTGCCATGAATGTGTGAGAACAAAATAAAATGATGGAACTGATAATGGTTTTGTGTTAGTTAAGGCATAATTGGGTGAGCACTGACTGGGTGCATGCGTGGCGGGACAAGGATTCAGTGTTTAAGTTTGTGAAGTGTAAGTAGAAATAAGACAGTCCAGGCATAGACTTTGCCAGTCACTGTCTAACCAGTATTCAACTTCAGATATTTAATAGGCACCAAGGGTTTTATTTTTGTTTGTGGCACATGAGCGTCACTAGACAGACTAGCAATTATTACGCATCTCTAATTTCAGAAGGCAATTAAGAGTCAACCTAATTGCTGTGGTCTGGAGTCACGTGTAGACCAAACAAATTAAGAATGGCAGAATTTCTTTCTAAAAGACATCAGTGACAAATCTCATAGCCTGATGGCCCACATGTTTAGGTTCTAAAAAAGGTAGCTGCAGAGATAGTGAATGGACTGGCACAATGTTCGAAAGATTTCTTAGATCGTGAAATGGGCCCGGCCAATTGGAGGTAAGTAAATGTAAAATCGCTATTCAAGAAAGGAGGGAAGTGAATACAAGGAAATTATAGGCCAGTTAGCCTGGCATCAGCTGTTGGAAAAGTGCTAGAATCCATTCTTAAGAAACTCCTAACACAACATTTGCAAAGTCATAACATGGTTAGACAAAGTTAGCATGATTTTTACAGAGGGAAATTATGTTTGACAAATGTATTAGAGATTTTGAGCCTGTAACTAGTAGGATAGATAAAGGAGAACCAACAGGTGTAGCGTATTTGGGTTTCCAAAAGATATTCAGTAAAGTGCCACATAAAAGGTTAATGGACAAGATAAGGGCTCGTGTAATTTGGAGTAATATGTTAGAATGAATAGAGGATTAGTTCACAGACAAAAAGCAAAGCATTTGAATGAAGGAGGCATCTTCAAGTTGACAGGCTGTGACTAGTAGGGTGCCATAGAGCTCAGATGAAGCCTCACTTATTTATAATCTTTATTAATGACTTGGACAAAGGAGATTGAGAATAATGAATAGCATCTAAGTTTGCTGATGCTTCAAAGCTAGGTGGGAGTGCAGGCTATGAGACTGGAAGGAGAAGTGTACTGGTTAAGTGAGTGGACAGCAAGGTGGCAGATGGAGTGTAACGTGGAAAAGTGTAAAGATGTTCGCTTTGATTATAAGAAGAGGGAAAAAAAAGTTGTTCTCTCTTGTCAGGGAATCTAGATTATGGGTGCAGATTAAGGGACTAATCATTTAGAGCTGACAAAAGCAGAAATTCCTTCACTTTGTGTTGGAGTTCCACTGCCAGAGAACGTGTAGATGATCCATCGTTGAGTATATTTAAGGATGGGTTGGACACATTTTTGGTCCCTCAGAGAATTGAGGGATATGGCGAGTAGGGACAAAGTGGAGTTAAAGCCAAAGATCAGCTATGTTTGTTTTGAGTGGCAGAGCAGGCTCATGTGGGCTATGTTGTACATTCTTACTACTTTTTAAAATATTCTTGCACCTCTTTTTAAATTCTGTTATTGATCCTTTTTAGGTTTCAAGGCAGTACGTTACTACAATGTCATCTCCAAAAATAGCTTCACTCTCTTGGGGTCGTATAAAGGTCCAAGACACTACATATAAGGACTGCAAGGTGTGGCCAGGAGGAAGTCGTACCTGGGACTGGAGAGAAACAGGGACTGATGTGAGTTGGAAACAGTACACACTGGGTGAGAGATAGTAGGAACTGCAGATGCTGGAAAATCTGAGATAACAAGGTGTAGAGCTGGATGAACAAATTCCTGCTCCTATGATGCTGCTTGGCCTGCTGTGTTCATCCAGCTCTACACCTTGTTATCACACACTGGGTGACGTAGTGTTATCACGGGAGGGAGGGCATTGTAGGCCAAAATTTTTGTTTGCCCCTGCATCTGAAAGTTTGAATCCACAAAAAATAAAATTAAATTATATAGAACATGAAGTGTGGAAACATGCAGTTTAGTTTTACAGATCCTTGCTATGTTTGTGCTTTACACAAGTTTCCCCCAATTTCTCTTTATTTGACCTCATCACCGTATTGTTTGATTCTTTTCTCTTTTGTGTTTATCTAGTTTCCCCTTAAAAGTATCAATGACTCTCTGTGATAGAGAATTCCACGTTCTGTTCGATTTCTCAGTAAAAAAAGTTCCTGACTAATTCCCTATCAGATTTATTAGTGACTACAGTAGAAAGGTCATTGATAGAAAAGCGGAGGCGATGGCCTGGTGGTATTATCGCTGGATTGTTAATCCAGAGTCCCAGATAACATTCTGGGGACACGGGTTTGAATCTCGCCACAGCAGATCGTGGAATTTGAATTCAATAAATATCTGGAATTAAGAGTCTGTTGATGACTGTGAATCCATTGTCGATTATTGGAAAAACCCATCTTGTTCACTAATGTCCTTTAGGGAAGGAAACTGCCATCCTTACCCAGTCTGGCCTACATGTGACTCCAGACCCACAGCAATGTGGTTGACTCTGAACTGCCCTCTGGGCAATTAGGGATGGGTAATAAATGCTGCCTAGCCACCGACACCCTCATCCTGTGAATGAATTAAAAAGAATTAATTCTGTTTCTTTCTCCATAGATGCTAACCAGATTCCCATAAATAGCTGCATCCCAGGGAAACCATTGCTTGATTTACACCTCTGATTCACTGATCCATTCTCTCAATATTACAATATTTATTTACACGCAATTAAGATGGTTCAATTGCTGGCAGTATACATATCGATTCTTTAAAGGATCTGGATAAATGACACTCTTAATGGGCTGTAGAGAATTTTTTTTTTAAACGAATGAATGATTTCGGTGTAAAGCTTTTTTAAAACACATACTGTTGTCATTGAAGGGCTTATTGGTCTGTACAGAGTATATATTTGGTTAATGGGCACAGAAGTGCCATAGCTTGGCATTGATGATGTGAGCGGCTATAGTGAGTCGGGGTTATAATTGACATGGAGGTTCTAGGGCCCATCGTGGGGCTGGCATAGCTTGGCATGTGAGGTAAGGATGAGAGCTTTTGAACTAGGCTTTCAAAATGTTCCCTTATCCAGACCTGCTGAAATACTTTTGCAGTCTTTTTGTGTTCTCAATTTCTCACCTACTTTCTATTGTCAGCAAACTTGGATACGTTACATTCAAGGCTTCTCTCAGGCTTGATATTTTCGAATCAAACTGTTCAAAGATGTTATAGACAGGGTGGTTAAAAAGGCATTTGGCATGCTTGCCTTCATTGCTCAGTCCTTTGAGTATAGGAGTTGGGAAGTCATATTGAGGTTGTACAGGACATTGGTGAGGCCTCTTCTGGAATACTGTGTTCAGTTCTGTTTGCCCAGTTACAAGAAGGATATTATTAAGCTGGAGAGGGTTCAGAAGAGATTTACCAGGATGGGGCTGTTTTGAAAGATTTTGATTATTAAAAAAAAGGCTGGATAGGCTGGGCTATTTCTCACTGAAGCATAGGAGGCTGAGAGGTGATGTGGTAGAAGTTTATAAAATAATGAGAGGCATAGATAAAGTTAATGGTAGTTGTCTTTTCCCTAGGATGGAAGATTTCAAGATTAGGCGACACATTTTTAAGGTGAGAGGAGAGAGATTTAAAAAAGATATGAGGCAATATTTTACACAGAGGGTGGTTCGTGTGTGGAATGAACTTGAAGAAGTGGTGGATGCAGGTACAATTAGAACATTTAAAAGACATTGGGGTAAGTACATGAATCGGAAAGGTTATGGAAGGACATGGGCCAGGAGCAGGCAGGTGGGACCAGTTTAGTTTGCAATTATATTTGGCATGGACTGGTTGGACCAAAAGGTCTGTTTCCGTGCTGTATGACTATGACTCTATGAACTCTGGAGTTTGGTAAGAGCAAGAGTACCTCTCTAGGGGTCTTGAACAACAAGTTCTTTAAAACCTCATTCTACTCTGTGCCAGTCGCAGAAGAATAGCACATGCCTAACCCCACAACGTCAAAGTGTAGGGTGTGGCCTTACGGTTGGAATCTTGGAATCAGGTTGCTCCTGCCACAATCACCCCTCTACTGACTCTCCAAAATTCTGTGAAAAACCAGCCCAGAGAGTTAGGGATAACAAAGTGTAGAGCTGAATGAACACAGCAGGCCAAGCAGCATCAGAGGAGCAGGAGAGCTGACGTTTCGGGTCTAGACCCTAGATCCGAAACGTCAGCTTTCCTGCTCCTCTAATGCTGCTTGGCCTGCTGTGTTCATCCAGCTCTACACCTTGTTATCTCAGTTTCTCCAGCATCTGCAGTTCCTACTATCCCAGAAAGTTAGGGGCTTGTTATTAAGCAAGTTTGTTGTAGAGCGTTCAGGATGCAATTAACTTTGTTTCTTGAACTTTATTGATTGAAGATGTTGTACAAAGGATGGTAGGTGTGTGATGAAATGGGTCCTTAAGATAATTCTAATATCCCTTTCCAATCCTTAGAAAGGTTTAGACTTAGCCAAGAAGGAATTCATTTAGTCCATTGAACCTACACTAGCAGAGCAATGTGCTTAATCCAACTTCCCTTTCCATGGTAAATACAGAAAATTCTGGAAATATTCAGCAGGTCAGACAGCTTTTGTGGAGAGAAACCAAGTTAACATTTCAGGTCAATGATGTTTCATCAGAACAAAAATAGAAATGTAAGAGTTTTTAAGTAGAGAAGGAAACAGAGAGCAGGAAGAGCAAAAGGAGATGTTTTGTTGATAAATAGAAATCTTAAGTTTTTCATCTTAATTCAAAAAAGGTGCAATGACTGGGTGTGTCCTTTATTGTCTGTATAGGTCATATGCTAGCATTTGAATGTATGTAGCTTCTAGCAAGCACATATAAATCTCGTGAGCCCATCTGAACATCCTAAATTGCTTATTAATGTACTAGTTAGCACATTCGCATTGGGACCTGTCTACAGCAGGCAGAAGGAATATGCCCAGGCATTTCACTTTCCTTGAATTAAACAAAAGTATGAGGACAATAATTCCTTGGCACATTCTCCATGGGAGCATCTCAACCAAACAGAGCCAACTTGGCAACCAATCAGCACCCTTCTCTTGTACAGTATAAATTGTTGTTCCTTTTGAATTTTGGCATTCTTGCATCTGCCTGATGATTGCAAGACAAAATGCTTTCACAGTATACCTCCTTTTACAGAAATACTCAATTTCTGTTCTGCTAGGTGACTGAAAGGGAAGATCACCCAATAGGGTCGAGAGTGGGAGAGATTAAATTACAAGAAAATTCATCCTGTAACAGCCAACTATTATAGTAGTGGGTATTGTAAAGAAACCAATGGTGTGGCTAGTTGAGGAGTGAATGGTGATATAGCAGCATCTGCATACAACACGAAGGCATATTGAAATAAACCAGCAACAAAAATCATCAATAAAGAACATGGTGGAGGCAGAAATTGTGATCTAAAGTTGTTGAACTCCATATTGAGTCCAGAAGGCTACAGAATGCTGAGGTGAAAGATGAGATGCTTTTCCTTAAGGTTGCATTGAACTTCATCGGAATCCTGCAGCAAACTGCAGACAAAATGGACAGAGTAAGAGCAAGGTCAAGAATTAAAATGCCTAGTGATAAGAAGCTCTGGGTCATGCTTACAAAGCGATCAGAGATGTTCAACGAAGCGATCAAACAGCGCCAGGGACCTGAGTTCATTTCCAGTCTTGGACCATTGTGTGTAGTTAGCACGTTCTCCCTGTATCTGCATGGGCATCCAATGGGTCCTCTGGCTTCCTCCCATAATCCAAAGCTGTGTAGGTTAGGTGGATTGGCCATGGTAAATGATGGGTTACAGGGATGGGATGGGGTACTGGCTCTTGGTGGAATGCTGTTTGGAGGGTCAGTGCAGACACGATGGGCCAAATGGCCTCTACCTGCACTGTAAGGATTCTACAATTCTATGGTCTCCACAATATAGAGGATACTATGTCATGAGCTGAAAATAGCATATACTAAGAAAAGTGCAAGCAAATTGCTGTTTCACTTAGCCAGTGTTTATGGGCCTGGCCCCCCTCCTTTCTCTTTTAAAATTTTATCCCCCTCAAATATTTATCTTTTTAATAGACTTTGTTATAGATCTTGCTTCTGCTGCCATATCTCAATTGGATGTTTCATATTATAAGAACCACTCTGCACTGAACAAATTTCTCCTAACCTCTCCCTTCCTGTTGTACTGATCTCTCAAGTCTATTTCACAATTCATTTCGATTGTAGCTTTTCTTTGTCTCAAATCCATTTCTGTACATTGGTTCCATAACACTTACAGTTTGAAATTGTGATTGATCAATTTTCATTGGTTTGTTGTTATGGAGCCAAAGCACATTCTGCTAATGTGAGAATTAGAAATAAAAATGCCCCTTAAAGAGGTATTCTTCTGATATTATGAATAAAGACATGTTGATTAAGTGGAGTAATCCAGTTTTCATAAGATTATTAGAAGTAAGAGCAAGAGTAGCCCTCTCACATCTGCTCTGCTATTCAGTAAAGTTATGGCTAACCTTCCATAGCAGCTTTTACACGGTCTGTTTAATCTCCCTCAGTAAGAATCCTCTCCACTGAAAAACTGGTCTAGTGGATCTTTACTGCATTCCTAAGGCTAGTGTACCTTTTCAAGGAGACCAAAACAGTGCACATGAGAGTTGTGTTATAACGAAAGCCATTTAGAATTGCAATAAAGCATCTTTACTCTGATAGTCAAATCCTTTGTTGTAAAGGCTCATATCATTTATGTTCTTGTTGGGTTGCTGTAGCTTCACGTTAAGTTTACGCAACTTGTGTACAAGGATATTCAGGATCCTTGGGATAATAATATTTCCCAGTCTCTCTCAATGCCAGTTTTCTATTTTTCCTACTAAAGTAGGTTATTTCACCTTTCTCCTCATTATATTTAATGTGTCATTTACTTGTCTAGTCAAGTAACTTGCTGAAATTCTGTTGCAGTCTTTTTGTGTCCTCAACTTAATTTCTCACCTACTTTCTATTGTCAGTAAACTTGGATACATTAAATTCAAGACCCCTCTCAGACTTGATAATTTCAAATCAACCCGTTCAGAGATGTTATTACACAACTGTGGAGCAGGTGGGACTTGACCCAATGCCACCTGGCTCAGGGATTGGGGCATGACCACTGCAGCACAAGAGACTTATCTTTCATCCTCAGTCATAGATATAAATAGTTGAGGTCCAAGGACTGATCTTTGCATTACCACACTCATTACAACCTGACAACCCAAAGATGATCTAATTATTCTTGTTTTCTGGCTGTCTACGATAATATTAACCACAATCCTAAGATATCTAATCAGGGATGTTACCTTGAGCAGAGCAGTCACAGCTTGGTTAGAAGGCAAAAGGAGGCCAGTCCCTGGCTGTCTGCAAGAACAATGCAGCTGGACCACACCCCTGCTGCAGGAAAAGTGTGCAAGAGGAGCTTCCCTATGAACTTTGTAGGTGAATAACACTGAATTGATTTTAAGCCAATGGAGGTAAAAATAAAGTTGTAAAGTAGATTGCTGACTTTGCACACACGGTTCACATTATCATCACATCAACGGTTACACCAGAGTCCTGAGATGTCCCAGAATCAGGCCCAGGTTTCCGCTGATCAAGTGGCGCACTTTACAGCGAATGAAGCACTTTGCGGCATGGTCGTTGTCAGAATTTGGGAAATCTGACAGTCAACCTCTGCACAGCAAGCTGGCACAAATAATAATGTGATAATGACTCAGTCATCTGCTTTTACTGATGTTTGATGTGTATGAAGGATAAAGATTTGCCAGGACATTAGGGATACCTTGCTAGCTATTTTTGTACGTGGTGCTATGGGATCTTTTTGCTGGCAGTTGGGACCAAGGATTAACCCCTTGTCTGAAAGACATCATCTTCAGCAGTGCTGCTCTCTATTATTAATGGACTGGGAGCATCAGTGTTCACTTTTGTGCATGAGATTCTGGTGTGGAATTTTGATATGAACCTAGAACCTTCCAACTCGTAAGGAAGAGATTAGTTCAACTGAACCTTTATTCATTAGAATTTAGAAGAATGAGAGGGGATCTGTTTGAAATGTATAAAATTCTCACAGGGCTAGACAGACTAGATGCAGGAAAGATGTTTCCCTGGTTGGGGAGTTTAGTACTAGGGGCCACACTCTCACAGGATCATAAGAAATAGAAGCAGAATTAGGCCATTTGGCCCATTGAGACTGCTCCACCATTTGATCATGGCTGATATGTTTCTCAACCCCATTCTCCTGCCTTCTCCCTGTCACCCTTGTTCCCTTTGCCAATCAAGAACCTATCTGTCTCTGTCTTAAATACACTCAATTACTTGGCCTCCACAGTCCTCTGAAAGTAACCCATAATTGATAGTCAAATTAGTAGCAATTGCCAACCAATGAATTTACTGTGATATCACTCTTTTTAAAAAAAAGTACAGGGTCCCTGATCCCTTGGCTTCAACTTATCCTCTTAAAAAAAACACTTACAAACTATGAGCCAAAAAAAGCAAGCAAAAAGCACCTCTTTTGCATCTGAAGCAAATTCCCATACTAATTTCAAATTCGCTGAACTATGTACTCACTTGGGCTGTGTCAAACAATGGGTGTGATCTCCTTCCTGACTCTGTGAATCTTACTCAAAGATGTGGGGTTGGCCACTTAGGACTGAGATGAGGAAAAAGCTTTTAACTCAAAGGGTAGTGAATCTGTGGAATTCTCTACCACAGAAGGCTGTGAAGGCTGAGTCACTGAATATATTTAAGAATATAACCCTATTAATTTCTAGATTTTAAAGAAATCAAGGGGAAATCATGCTTGACAAATCTGTTGGAATTCTATGAAGATATAACTAGTAGGGTTGACAAGGGAGAGCCAATCAATGTGGTATATTTGGACTTTCAGAAAGCATTTGACAAAGTCCTGCATAAGAGATTATTGTGCAAGATTATAGCGCATAGGATAGGGGGAAGTGTATTGAGATAGAGAGGAAACAAAGAGTAGAAATTAATGGGTCCTTTTCAAATTAACAGGCAGTAACTAGTGGGACGCCGCAGGGATTGATGCTAGGACCCCAGCTATTCACACTACATATTAATGATTTAAATGAGGGAACCAAATGTGACATCTCAAAGTTTGCTGATGATACCAAGGAGGGTGAACTGTGTCAAGGATGCAGAGATCCTTCAGCATGATCTTGACCGGTTGGGTGAGTAAGCAAATCAATGGCAAATGCAGTATAATTTGGATAAATGTGAGGTTATTCACTTTGGAAGCAAAAACATGAAGGCAGATTACTACCTGAATGGCTGTAAATTGGGAGAGGGGGAGTGTGCAGCGGGACCTGGGTGTCCTTGTGCACCAATCACTGAAGGTAAGCATGCAGGTGCAGCAGGTGGGAAAGAAGGCAAATGGTATGTTGGCCTTCATTGCGAGAGATTTTTGAGTACAGGAACAGGGATGTGTTGTTGCAGTTGTACAGGGCCTTGGTGAGGCCACACCTAGAATATTGTGTACAGTTTTGGTCTCCTTTTCTGAGGAAGGGTGCTCTTGCTTTCGAGGGAGTACAGCGAAGGTTTACCAGGCTGATTCCAGGGATGTCGGGACTGAAGTATGAGGAGAGGATAGGTTAGGATTGTTTTTGCTGGAGTTCAGACAAATGAGGGGGATTCTCATAGAGACTTTAAAAAATTATAACGGGACTAGACAGGGTAGATGTTCCTGATGGTGGGTGCATCCAGAACCAGGGGTCACAGTCTGAGGATTCAGGATAGACCATTTAGGACAGAGATGAGGAGACATTCTTCACCTGAAGAGTGGTGAGCCTGCGGAATTGATTACCACAGGAAGTATTTGATGGCAAAACATTGAACGTATTCAAGAGATGACCAGATATAGTACTTGGGGCGAATGGGACCAAAGGTTATGGGGAGAAAGCAGGATTAGGCTATTGAGTTGGACGATCAGCCATGATCATGAAGAATGGTGGTGCAGGCTCGAAGGAAATGGCCTCCTTCTGCTCCTATCTTCTATGTTTCTATGTTGGGAGAAAGTGGGAATATGGCACTGAAAAAGATGATCAGCTATGATCTCATTGAATAGCAGAGCTGACTCAAAGGGCCAAATGGCCTACTGCTGCTCCTGGTTTCCATATTTCATTGAGCAGTGATTGGCTTAGGAAATTAAGCTGTAAGAGTTTTAAACAAGTTCCTGGTTACTCCTGACTGTTGTACTCTCTCCCATTTAGCATTACCCTGGAGTGCAGGCAGCTGACCTGGAGGAAATCATTAACAAAGGTATTGAGACGTTAGTTATTGGTCGTGGAATGAGCGAGGCTTTACAGGTTAGTCTGATTTCTTTTTTTCGCTTAAAGAATCAATTGTTTCTGCTTTTCTAACCAGTTGTAATTAAGCATTTTGGCTGTGCAGTATACAATTGCAGGACATGAAAAGTGATGCATTTCTTAATTAAATATAGCAAATAGGACTGTCCTGGATTTCTGAGATCAGAGTTGCTGGCAGAAGTGCAGCATGCCTGAACTAATGGTGCAGGAAAATTTTGTAGACACAGTATCAGGGCAGCTGAGTCATGCTAACTGTTGCTCTCTCCACAGATGATGCCAGACCATTCTGTTTTCATTTCTGGTCAGACTTTCAGCATCCATAGTACTTTGTTTTTACCTAATATAACATTGGTACATGTGTGAGGGAAGCTGACTGGTCCTATTTCTTCAGCAATATAAGAGGATGCTCTCAAGGGGTGGGGGTACAGGAGAGGGTGGAAAGTCGCAAGTTGTTCACGCAAAGTACTAAAACAGAGAGATTCATATTTATGAACAGTGTATTTTTGCAACCACCTTCATCTCAAAGGACTTTAAAGCCAGTGAAGCAATATTTTGATGTGAACTCGCTGCCAAAATGTACGAAACACAACAGCGAATTTGTGCTCAACAAACTGCTGAAACAGCAATGTAATAATGGCTGGATCTTTTTGTGGTATTGATGGAAGGTTAAATATTGCCCCAGATACCAGAGCAATCTTCGAAATGGTAGCCAGGCCAGGGACAGAATTCATGGGCCCTGGTGTTTCTCCTGGCCTGGCCCGACCCTCCAGTATACAGGGTCCCCTAACCTTCACATGTGCACTGGGACCTGGTTATTCGACCCTGATGTACCCCAACTGCTGTCTCAGGCCCTTGGCCAGGGTAACCAATCATATCTAACTGCAAAGGCAGGCAAGGCCTCAGTTTGAAGTCTCATCTGAGAGAAGGCAACCGCGACATTGCAGCATTCCTTCAACACTGCAATGGAGCGTTAACTGACAATGTTGTGCTCACATTCTGGATTTTGAATTGACAGCCATGCAACCTGGGAGTGCTACCCACAAGACTTGAATATAAACGTAACCACAGTGATGATGTGTTTGCTCCTTCGTCCTTCTCAGCCCACTCCCCAACAAAATTCTCCATGTAAATTATGTTCTGGCTCTAGTGCAGTGCTGAAGAAGTGCTGCACTGTTGGAAATGCAACCTTCAAAATAATTTTGTTAAATCAACGTCACATCTGCTCTTTCAGGTGGTTGGTGATCTCCGGGCCACTAATTCACATTTTGGTTCATGGAAGCTTGTTGTGCACAAACTGGTTGTCACTTTTCCTACATTAATGCAGTGACAGTGTTTCAGAAGGGTCTTAACTGCCTAGAAGTTGATGTTTTGGGGTTGTGGATGGTGATTTTGGAATATAACCTTCTGGCCCACCCTCGTCAAACTTCTTACTGCCTTGCACTCCTTCAGACTTTCTATGATCCAAAATCACCAAGGTATCAAGTACAAGATTATCTACTGATGGTTCTCCTATCCAGATAGATGGCTTGTGACTCTGCACATGAAATATCTCAGTCTATAATTGAGGACATCTGGAGAAGAAAAAAAATAATTAACAATTAATTCCAGCTTCAACCAGCCAATTGGCCATTAATTGGTAGGAGCCACATGATTGCACCAAGATTCCCACTAACCCTCATTCATTGCAGATTGGTCATCATGTAACTCCACACTGTCTGAAACATAGAGTAGAATTATAGAATATTTACAGCTCAAAAAGAAGCCATTCAACTTGCCCAGTTTCTGTCAGCTCCTTCCAAAGAGCAATTTAATTCATCCCGCTTCACAGTCCTTTTAATTGTAGCTCTGCAAATACACATGCAATGAAGCATGTTGCAAACTTGATTGGGTCATTAACGGAGAATCATGAAGATTTCAGCACAGAGGAAGGATCTTTCATTCATTTTGACTGCCTCCGATGCCACATTTCTGCTATTTATTCTCATCCACAAGATCTTTTCTGTGAGTTGATCTGATTCAACCTTGACAGTTGGGTTTTCATTTCAGTATCTTTGCAGTATTTTTTCAGGGGTACAGTTGGAAAAATTTGCAGTTGATTAACAGTGCAAGGTGGTCATTTTCATTATATCTTTGCACTCTTCCCTGGAAGAACATTGTGTAGTGGAAAGATCCACAGATTTAAGAATAGTCTGGCAGGCTGGAAGGCTCCTTCATTATGAGCATAACCATTTTCAAGCCTGCTGGTGAGTGGTGCTTAGTCATAGACTTGTACAGCAAACAGACCCTTCGGTCCAACTCATCCATGCTGACCAGATATCCTAAACTGATCTAGTCAAATTTGCCAAGATTTGGCCCTAATCACTCTTAAATCCTTCCTATTTCTGTACCTATCCAAATTACTTTTAAATGTTGTAATTGTAGCAGCCTACACCACTTCCTGTGGCTGCTCATTCCATACACACACCACCCCCTGCATAAATAAGTTGCCCCTTAGGTCCCTTTTAAATCTTTCCCCTCACCTCTTCTAGTTTTGGAATTCCCTTCTCTGGGAAAAAGACCTTTGCTATTCATCTTATCCAAGCCCTTCATGATTTTATAAACCTCTATAAGGTCATCCCTTAGCCTCCGACATTCCAGGGAGAAAAGCCCCCAAGCCTCTTCAGCCTCTCCCTATAGCTCAAACCCTCCAATCCCAGTAACATCCTTGTAAATCCTTTATGAATCCTTTCAAGTTTAACAACATCTTTCCTATAGCAGGCCTATATGGAAGGAGGGTTTTATAGGCTCCTGAGGTCCACACAATGGAACAGACATGACTATACACAACACCAGGCACCTGAATCCCACTCGAAGTGCAGAATTTTGTCACTGCGGCAATGCTGTCCTAACAACTGGCTGGAGAACTGAGAGCAATTTGGGAGCTGCCTAATGGCATTTTCCAGAGATCGAAAACTAGTTCAGTGCTGATGAAGAGTCACTCGAGTCAAAACGTTAACTCTGCTTTCTTCCCAGGGATGCTGCCAAACCTGCTGAGGTTCTCCAGCAATTTCTGTTTTGGTTGTAGTTATTTGCTGTGGTGTCCAATGCCCTTTTACAGGATGGCCACCTGCACTCAAGAACTGTTAGCCTGTTGAAAGGCGGTGGCCTAGCTGTTTCCGCATTGCCCCTTGGAGCAACAGCCAGATCTGGGACAGTGCCTGGAGAAGAGGGCACAATGGAAGCACTCTGAGCTCCCACCTGGGAGTAATGGGGAAGAAAGACGCTGCAAGAGGGGCGCAAATGGGGACGAAAGGCCACAAATTTTGTGCAAGAGAGAAGAAGACTAAACATCTGGAGGTCTTTGGGGACAAGAAAGAGCGTGCGAGTTGGGGTTGCAGTGGAAGAAAGCAGCTGCAAGGTTGGGGTGAGAATAACGATGCTGCAGGAGGGTGTGTGCAACAAAAAGAGAGCTACAAGGGTGGTGAGTATATAGGGGATGGCAGCAAAGGAGTTTGGGGGAAACAGGGAGACTGCAAACAGGTTGGTGAATGAAAGAGGATGCAAGAGGTTGGAAAAAGTAAGGGGAGGCTGGTGGGGTGCCTCAGAAAAAAAAAGAGGGTGGTTACATAGGTGGTGGGAAAGGCATGAGTGGGGACAAAAGGCTGCAAAAGAGACCAGATTTTAAACCTGTCAAAAAAGGAATATTCAACAGAAGCTAGGTAAGTCACTAAAATAACGATATGGTAGTTGATACAAGCTGATCCTGTCCACCTTTCCGCATAAGATGACTTGCCCATTCCAGGTATTAGTTTGGTAAACCCTCCCCAGACTGCTTCCAAAGCATTTACATACTTAAACAAAGAGACGAATGGGTGGCACAGTGGCTCAATGGTTAGCACTGCTGCCTCACAGTGCCAGCGACCTGGTTTCGAATCCACCCTCGGGCGAATGTCTGTGTGGAGTTTGCACATTCTCCCTGTGTCCGCGTGGGTTTCCTCCGGTTTCCTCCCACAGTCCAAAGATGTGCAGGTTAGGTGAATTGGCCATGCTAAATTGCCCATAGTGTTCAGGGATGTGTAGATTAGGTGGGTAACAGGGGAATGGGCCTGGGTGGGATGCTCTGATGTTCGGTGTGGACTTGTTGGGCCGAAGGGGCTGTTTCCACACTGTAGGGATTCTATGATGATTATGATGATGATGATCAATACCATAAATGGTATGCAATAGTACCCTGTATAGTTATTTTCTAATTAATCTGTTCAGAGATGTTATTACACACCTCTAGAGCAGGTGGAACTTGAACCCAGGCCTCATAGTTCAGAGTTAGGAATACTACCACTGCATCACAAAAGTCCCTACCTACTTTTGGTAAGTTAGTAGTCCTCATTATTTGCAGATTCACTACCTGGATATCGACATGCTTGTAATGTCTGCTACAGACCCCGTCTTTCTTTTCTCATAGACTTGTCTGGTTGGATCACACTGCCCTTTTGTGGTAGTTTGGGGAGTTACATAAGACCAAACGATATAGGGGCAGAATTAGACCATTTAGCCCATTGAACCTACTCTGCCGTTTGATCATGTCTGAGACGTTTCTCAACTTCGTTCTCCTGCCTTCTCCCCTTAGCCCTGACCTCCTTATTAATCAAGAACCAATCTATCATGTCAGCAGTATTCACAAAAGCATGTGCACCTACCTTCCGTGGCTATTGTGGATTTGGTGTATTCAATTTCCCTCGCAATAAACAGTAATATTCCATTAACTTTCTCAATTACTTAATGGGCTTGCACAGTGATTTTTTTTGTGCATACATTGTGCATTTAGTGCATACGATACAATTCTAACACCCATATCTCTGTACATTTGAGGGCTCTGCAATCTCACCACTTAGATAATGTGCTTTTTTATTCTTCCTGCCAACTTAGACAATCTCACATTTTCCCATATTGTACTCCATGTGACAGATTTCTGTTCATTTGTTTAAGTTACTTATATCCTTCATATGCCTTCCTATGTAGCC